AAAAACGGATCTTTAAATCGAAAGCGGACAAAAAGCATTGTGATATTCGGAATCAGCACGTTCGATTACCTATTGTCAACTGAGTTTAAGCTCAAAAGCGAGGAGGCAGTTGATGGCCTTCCCTCGTAAGTATGTTTCTCACTTATTTTGTTCTTTTCCTCACTAAAGAAACTGGACTGTATACTTTTTAAGTCAGTATAACATAATTCTTTTTAGACCAAACTGCAATCTGTTTTACTCCGCCATTGTCTTCGAGAACAGATCACAGGATAATAATAAGGCAAGCAAGAGAAGTTGCATTTTTCATAGTCTCATATTCTTTCTACATGCTTCTCAGTAGTCTAACAAATTTCTTTAACTTTATTCAAAAGAGAGTAAAAGAGATTCGGCTAAAACTTCAACTCGACTACAAAAAGTATAATCACTGTTAAACGTCTTCATAAAGACAGTGAACAAAGTCAGCAGTATTTTAGACTTTACATTGTTCACAAGGAGAAATACACAAATGTCGTGGAGATACCAGTAAGGTATCCATGACCTGACAAGCAAGACCACCTAAAATCAAATAAAGATCTCCCTATTCAGCTTTCTTATGCTCAAAATAATTTAGAACTTAGTACTTTTTAGAAGTTAATTTCTGTTCGACTCTTTCGGCGTTATCAGGATTGTTTGGACTTCTTTTTCTTTTATAAAATCGCAGTGTTTATGACAGAATGGCACGCAAATGAAAAAAGTTAAGAGTGACAACGTGTATACATAATACACGTGTTTGTGTCAAGTATAAAGAAATATATAGACTGAAATTGCATATAGGATCAAATTCACGTACATCTTTTCTTTTGAATTTTAAGTTCAACATTTTTTCGTTGTCGACTGAGCTACGAATCTGAATCGTACCGTCTGTTCTTCTACCAAATATAGATGATAGAAACCGAAAACAATATGAAAGTATTTCTTTTATAATAAAACTTTTTAGACTGATTTGACTACACCATGTTTTACTCGGGCTTTTCTTCGAGAACATGGTGCAATTAATGTCTGAAGCTTTTCTTGACCATCCAGTACTCTTACCATACCCTTATATTATTACAACCAGTTTCTGAGAAAGAAGACTGAAAGACATGCGAGTATAATAGGAGAGTTGAAATACTTCCACACAGGACCATAAAACGATTAGGACCGCTATGCTCCTGTCGATACGAGATTTGCCGACTGCTGATATTATCATTGATGTTAATAAAGGGTTTGCTCTTCGACGCATCGGCAAATATTCGTCAGAAGTCGTAGAAGAGATTGTCCATACATTCGTACCCCTTGATGATCACTGCGTTGCATCACCAAAAACAGATGTTTGTTTGCATGCTTTGCTGTCGACAGAGACGAATGTGTTGGAACTCGCTACTATGATGGCACAATAATAAATTATGATCGTAAATAAATTATCCTTTCTCATATCGCAAAGAAAATACTACACAGTCAACTTTATGGAAATACACGTCAAACATTTTTGAAAACGGTTCATAATCTTTCACACTACGGATTATTAATCAATGCTTTCAACTATCTGATGGAGTTATTGACTCTTCCGCGAGCGGAGTACAATCTACATTGCAAACCTCTGAGCATACACAAGTATCATCAGGTGGCTCACTCTATCGGTCTTCCCACACCTCTCATCCACGAGCTGTGATGGAAGTTTCCTCCTTTTTAAACTAGCGTCACAGCATAACTGATTGATTTGCAAATAGTTATATTGTGACGTATCGGTTTCCAACATATGGTTCATATACTAATCTGCAATCGCTCTATCATGCAGAAGAAAGTTTAACTAAATCACTTGGAAAAAACTACATGTTCAAGGAGAGGTCGAGGACATGTTCGGGAACAGCCATACGCTGAATAGTTTTCGTGATTGATAGTCGAATACTGTTTACAAGTAACACAAGGTTCTTTACTCAGACACTTTTATGCACTTTAAGACGACAAATCAGATAAAGAAGCAGTCTTTTGAAACTCTCCTTGTTCCTCAATCTCAGCACGTAATAGCTGAACAGCCAGATCCGAACACATGGAAAATTCTTCTTGTGCCACTTGTGGTCGACCATATAAACAGGTGCTTTGTGTGTTTATTCTTTTCTCATTAGCAGTTCGATCAATGGTTGTCGCTCATCATTCTGAGAGCGTTTATTAACATTACTACTTCTGGCTTGCTCATCCCTGCCCAATATTTCATTGTATTCGTCATCTTTTTTCTTCAGTTCCCTTCGACGTTTGTAGACAACAACGTATAACCATCCAGCAAATATTATATGAAATAAAACGAATACTATGAAAAATAGTAAACAAATAAGCCGATCGGTACCAACACGATCTCCGTATTGTTGAAACGGAGCAATAGCAATTGCAGCATGATAAAAGCAAATAAAGACCAGAAATACAATTGAAACTAGTGAATATCTATCTAATAAGGTTAGATAGCGGACGGTCTAAACAAGCATAAAACAAAAACGGTATGTTTATGACGTTAATGCATGAGGATCATTGAAACGCTCTACATAAAAAATGTGGACTGGTATTAGTCCATATTCTACTGACTTTACCCTTTTCATGTTTGAGAGAGGAATGTCTGAATGGTAAGACGCGTATCGACCAAATATTTCATTGAAAAACTAAACATCACTGTATCTGTTCGCTCAAGTATTGCTCTGTCTACTTCGGTTCAGCGTTAAGTTTGAAACGGACTAATGCTTTATCCGACAGTGCTGGAAAGTTTCCTTCCGATACTGGAGAATATGTTTCTTTTTATTCAGCTTTCCGTGGACAGATGTTACTATCCGATCACAATTGATAATCAATTAGTTTTCATTAACCACCAATTTTAAAAGTAACAGAAACGTTTCTTGTCAAGTTTAGAAGTAAGCCTTCAATCTCTATTCAGTTTTCAGAAGTTAATGTAAAGCTAATCTCATTTATTCCCTCGTTTGGTGATGCGTTTGTGGCAGGTCTAACGCATTATACGAGAATTCTTGGTTGGGGGAAAATATAGGATAAGAAAGTATTCCACACAGAGTTTAGACTGATAGGATTTTGCAAGTTGCACGAATCCTTCTACTTAGTTTTTGAATATTTTGTGGGTGCAGAACTCCTATTAATCATCATGAATGATTACTACACAATATCCGTACTGTAGTACTACAGTTGCTGTGCTCAACAACAAAACCTCAACATTCATTAATTAAATAAATGTTAAATGTTCAGAGCTGCTGTTTCCTCAATGATTTTTCATGAAGAACATTTTCTTCACCTGATATATGAAGAACAACTTACTGGTAGTGATCGATTGACGACCCAGCGAAAGGTAACAGCTGCCAATAGAACTGTAACGGTGACTTGCAAACGACTTTCAGCTTTGCTTAATAAAAAAACATGCGAATAGCTTTCACTTTAGCTATAATAACATGAAGGCTATCCATGCTGTCCATTAAAAGCTGCTTACTCTGGAGAAATGACAAAGACTGGGAACGCAAATAATGTTATTAGAAACATCAAAAATAAACCGTTCCAAGCGAAATATTCTGGACAACGACTTGCTCTGCATGTAACAACAAATACCGGATGCACTTTTTGTGAATTTGTAAAATCCGGTCGATAATGCTGCTTTGTTTCTACATGTTCATAGAGTTTCCACGATAGTTGACCACCAAATGCCCGAGTATTGATAGTAGACAGGCGCTCATCTTGTTTTAGTTTAACTTCTGAGGCTGTGCGTCCTGACATAATGCCTATTGATAAATCTTGTACGTCAAAAGGAAACTAGAAACAGATAAAAACTTTAATAAGAGAAAGAGAAAGGGTAATAAGAACTTACGTGCTGCAATTCCAAACTCTCCCAAAAGGTACCTTTCATCATACGATGTTCACATATTTCTGATGATTGTTGATCAGGATGTGAGATAACTGTATAAGATGTTTGTTCTTTTAAGTCACCAACATTATTATCGATCAGTAATTCAGGATTCCAATGCACTTTTGGATCATAGTCAACCACTGACCCCTCCATTTGCGGAGGAAAACTTTTGTCAAACCACCTGGCTTCCATGTATAATTCGGCCTCATATTTTTCCTTTAATGTGTCGATATCACCTATTATAAAGAGAGAGATATTTATGATAGATACCTGTGAGCTTCTTTATTTGTAACATATATGAATGTGATAACGGAAAAACAAAGGATGCTACTTGAACACTAAAATATAATAATTATCTACTGGAACTCGAGAAATACCAAAAGATGCGCAACAAGTGCGATGACAGCAGACTCAACGATAAAAGCGTATCGAAGCATTGCCCCAAGCTCGAGAAAAATACGTACATCACTTTATTTTAAGCTGAGAAATTTGCTAGATGCATCTAGCTAATCAGATTTGTTTTACGCATTTATTTAGATCTATCTAGGAGCATCGACGTATCTAACTGCATCGCCCGATGCATCTATCTCATTCCGCAAAGTAAATAGTTTATCCGGTATATAACGAAAGCTGTGCGATCCATTGCTCGATATATCAGTGAATACATCGGACCATACAGCTAGATACATCGATGCTCCAGCGAGCGCTTCTACCTATATGAGTAAAAAGAATCGACTGATGATCGCTATCAAATATATTTGAATATTTCCGCTAGACAGGTTGTATTTATGGCTTTTTGGGGCATACATAGTGGTGGCGCGAAAAAGCTGGAGCAGGGGGGCTGTAGTTCCAAAAGTCGGAGAAAGTCCAAAAATGTTATCTGGCAAGTTTGATAAAGTAAAATAGATGATCGAAACCTCACCATCTTTTCGTTTCGGACTTATTGTTGTATAACCAGTTACCATCACACTTTGTACACATACGAAGGAAACTGCATGTTTTGTTGTTCCTTCATATAGTGTATTAAAAAACGAATAAAATAGAATACTAAATTCTACGACCAGTTGTGTTTGGAGATTTTCATCAGTCTCAATACTCCAAGATCACAATAAGCCAAGTGGACAAATCTCATAATCATATACGACCAGTACATAAAGTTCGACAACTAATGATTCTAGTCCGCACTTGGACCTGCCCATCTCTGCCTGTTCTACCTTGTTCGAGTTTTCTCTGATTCAGTGGCATTTGTGCAGCAAAGTTAGCCGGAAACTCGAGAAACCGGCAAGTGTGCAGAAAACTGTAAAGTTTACCGAAATCAGAGTAAACTCACTCCATTTTTTCACAAAATTCGAGTAAATTTCCCGTACTTTTGGCTCGAATCGGAGCAAATTTCTGTCAAAAGTTCTGAAAGCAGGAGGAGGGGTATACACGCACCGCCACTGTACATACAGAAACTTCATTTGGTGATTTTCTATTAACTTCGGTCAATGCTTCGGGCCTTGATCATGAAAACACACATACCTATTCGTAAAAATATCACTCGAATGAATACTTCAATTGAATTACTTAATTGAAACACGGTAGGATGTTCAAATAGCGCTGCAGCATTTAATCGTCCCTGCATACTTTATAGCTGAATCCGTACGTTTTCAAATACGATAAATGTATCGCGACGCAGCAGGGACTTTTTATCTTTCTGATTTATAAAACGAATCAGGCGTGTCGAACCATATATCATTATTCGTCATTCTATACGATTTTATTTTACCAAATTTTATGAACCTAAGATGGGAGGATTTCAAGGCGAATCCGATGGAGAGTTTCTTTTCATTTAACTCTCAGTTTGTCTGGCGGCCGCCACCGCCCCAGCAATGTTCGATATCTATGCAGAGTTCAATGTGAATACAGTTAAAATTTTCTGAGCAACGCTATCCAGCGGCGCAAGTAACTGGAGGGCGTGGGAAGGTGGGCATCCGCCGAATAATTGAAAAAGCTGCTGTTATTTTATCCATTATTCTCCGCACAAAAAACTTTTGTTTTGCAGCCCCTCCTAAAGTTCTGCTTCTCTTTGTGGCCCTGATGATATTGTATTGTTAAT